TTGGTCATTGAAGAGAAGACCAGAAGGAACTAATTTATTTAATCCAGCAATTGAAGACAGAGAGGGCAGTGCTGTCTGCCAGTTAGTTAGGGTGGGGAAGGGAATGAACTAAACACTGCAGGGAAGCAGAGCTGTTTAAGCTAAAGAATAGTGTTGGCACGAGAACAAATGAATATAAATTGGCTGTGAATAAATCGAAGCTAGAAATTAGTTGCTAACCAGCAGAAGAGTGACTTCTTAGAAGCGCCTTCCATTGGGACCAGAGGGAGCTGATCACCAAGGTACTTAGAAGCTGAAGCTCTGTTTGTGACCAGGATTATGTGCAGTGGGACTTGCCATAACGAGGGGATGGGCCTGATGACCAGAAACCTGTTTCTAACTGTATGTGGGCTTAAGGACAAATCTACATTCCCTATGCAAAACACAGAAATAAAAGTGTTCCCTGCAGGCCATGCAGGTCAGGGACAGCTAATCCCCTTCCAAACCAGCTTCAGAGCTTTCCAGTCTGGTACTGCCAGACACAGCCTCTGCCCCATGTCCTCTGTGGGCTCCACAGCCCTCTTGTGCAGCTGCAGGACAAGCTGTGTTTAGTACTGCGATGCCTCTTCACCTTTCACTCTTTGTCCCCTATGCATCAAATGCAGCAGCTCTGCTGGTTTGAGGGACTTTTTGTGGCAGTACAGTACAGGGGGAGATTTGTGCTGGAAGATGGATTAAATGCTGCCTCTGCTTAATGTCAGTGATAACATCTGGTGAGAAGTTATTTAGCACCTCCTTTTTAATTTTTTAAAATACAGAGAAAGAACTGCAAGAAGATAAAAGTCTGAGATTGTCATTGTATAACTGAAATTAAACCTAATTTTGGCAATTTAACTCGGCCACTAACTTAGCACATTATACTAATACAGCATGGTCTCTTCCCAGTTTCTTCCTACACTCTAGGGTAGCAAGTCTAGGTTAGAAAACAGAAATGTGAGATTCTCCCAGAATATTCGCTCTTGCCACCAAATAGAACTTTGCTTTCAGATGCAATCTCAGTTGCAGTGACATTTTTTCCTGATGTTCCTAAGTTTTTCCACTGGTATGGAGAGGCCTTTCCTCCTGCTGTTTGACTGCTGTGAGAGCACATTTGGCCTTTGTTTATGTATTGAATAGCTAACGGGTACCATGCAGGCAGCTAGGATGTGTGCAGATTCTCCTTTCTTCTAAAAACCCTCTTGGAGGAGGAAAATGGAACACCGAGGTTATTGCAGATCCTACCTCCAGTGTCACCTCATCTGCTACAATATTGAGTAACAGGTACAAGTTGGTGTGGATTATGAGAACATGCGTGATTTAACGCGTTCCCTTTTCAATAGTATTTCTTACCATGCAAGCATTTATGCTTCCAGGATACTGTGGATTGAATTTCCCATTACCTCTGGTTTTTGAGATTGGCCAATAGAGATGACAGGCAAACTTCAGCTTTGATTTCAATTAATCTGGTGGGGTTTTATGCTCTGGAATTGAAATCCATCTCAGAGCTTCCTCCTTCAAAGGCAGGTCATTCTGAGACCAGAATCACTATTTAGGTCAGCTCCCTCTGTTCATTTTAGGGTATTTTGGAACTGGATGATAATAACAATATTTTTGAAAGAATAGAAAATGAGCCAGGACAAACAGAGGTTTGGTAATAAGCATTGAAGTAGCATGAAAGTGACTGGTATTCTGCAAATGACCCCTGTTCAGCAGCTTTTTCGAGCTCTGTGCAATGGGAGATAGCTTGTAGAATTCCAGCTTTTAATAGGGGTTTTTTTTTTCAGGTCAGAAATTCTTAATAGTACAGAGCTGATGCTTCAGAGCCTTATGCTAGCAAACCTGACACTAGGGAGTAATATCATTGGCTTTCATGCGCCTATTTACTGTAATAAGGATTACGGACATAAGTAAAACTTGCAGGTTTGGGCCCACAAAATTAAAAGAAAAGCCTTTTCACACCCTGAAACTGCATCAAAATTCAATTTCACCAGGAAAAAAAAATCCTTCTGATCTAGTCCCTGGAATGTGACATTTCATGGGTGTAATAAGGTTACAAACAGATTATAAATTGAAACCCTATAATTCCTTATTGTACTGTACCAAAGCTTCTGCTTTGCATAATACTCTTATTCCTGACTGTTCTTTGTTTTACAAGCTCAAAACTGCTCATTTCCTCTCATAATAGAGACCAGGGAGCCAAAAACACCGTGTAAAATCCAAAGGTAATTATCTGAGTCAAAGAAACTGAATGCCAGAGTTCACAAACTTCTGAACTTTTCTAAATGATGTTGTTTGCACAGTGAGACCTCCCTCCTCTTTAAACATGTCACAAAAATTACACATTCTTTCTGCCAAACGATAATGGTAAAAAAATCCCAGTGTAGATTTAGTTCATGGTTTGCATTTGTGTAGTTCTACCTATATGTCCATAGCAGATGACTGATGAGTTTTCTCATCATAACTTGAGCAAGTGAGGGTGTTCGAATCTCAGGATGACAAACACTGTGAATCTCCTTACCTGAGAGCACTGCTGGTGCTGATTTTCTAGCAAGTGTCTTCCTCCAGACCAGCCTTTTGAGTATTTGAACATATTTGTAGGTCTGCTAAAATATGATCCCTCTGCAATAAGCAATTAAGCAGCTCACCTGTGAACCAAATAAATTACTCAGATTAGCAGATCACAGGCTCATTTATTGCAGGCTTTCCCTAAAGGTGAGGATCCTCAGAGGTATTGAATGAGAATGAGCTGGATTTGCAGATGAGCTCTCAGGGGCCACTTGCAGCATCAGAGCAATGAGGGAAAAGAGCACAAAGAGGGGTTTGATTGTAGGAAGATCGGAGAGTCTGGGAAAGGATTGATAGGAGAGCAGGGCAAATGTGTATGGAGGGCCACAGTTGTGAGAGACCAGAGGATGATCACAAGACATTTGACAGGTAAGCCAGCGATGGAGAGAGGCAAATGATCATCACCACTCTGGGCAAGCTTTGTCAGCTGCTGCAGTGAGCCTGGGCTGGGGAGGGAGTGAGGAAAGGACTTTTAGGCCCATGAGAAAGGTCAGTTTTAGAGAATTCTCATGCTGCTAAAGGTTAGAGGTCTAGAGCGCAGGGAGCAAGCTGGTTTTCAGGGACAAAGAGAAAAAACTGTCCTATGGAGACATTCTCTGAAAGGGCCTCCATGGTGCCTGAGTGTCCACACAGCAGTAAGTAAAAGGAGGTGCTGTGGTGAAGTGATTGATCCAGCCTTGAGGTTTTTGTATCAAATGGAAAGCCTGTGTCACACACTCAAGTCTCATCCCCCTCGTGGCTGTGTAGGTTTAACCACATAACACACAGTCTGTAATGTTTACAGAGAGATTTGGCCATGGATTATTTGAATGCATGTAATTTTGTCCCTTTACTTCTTTCTCTTTCAAGAAATAGCACACATTGCCCTCATTGAACTCTTTTGATGCCATTTCAAAGCTCAGGGCATGTGTATGTTTCTGGAACAGGTGCGTGTACTGTGAATACAGATCTGCACTAGGAACATTAACTCTTGCAGATTACAAGTTGTATGTTGCCCAGCACCTCTGCTCTGTTCATGCATCCTGAGCCCCATAACAACTTTTAAGAAATGGCGATAAAGTTTCAGAAAAAAAGCTGTCATCTTTTACAGGTAATGGATGTCTGTTGTCCATGGCAATGGTGCATAATTTTGAACATACGTGATTTTATGTGGCTTTCTGACTGATTTCAAGACTTCAGAAAAGATTGGGATTATCTTCTTTGTGTTCCAGTATGAGCTCCTGAGTTTCTATATGGCTGGCATTTTATTTAGGCCCATTATGGAACAGATACAGATTTCATCCCTGTGCTGTGATCAAATAAAAACTGGAAAGATTTTTTGGTGGTACCTTAGTGGGAATAATGTCATTCGCTGGGTAAGGCAGCCATCTAGTGGCACAATAACAGAAGTTCGGCAGTGTGGAATGATTTCTCCAAGAGAGTCTGGGAGGATGAGTTGGGTAGCTCCTAGTGGAAAAAAGACTCTCTAAGTCCAGGTGTAGTTATCTCTTCTTTTGTTTTCTAAAGCCGTGCAAAAAAAATTCAAACAGTTAAACTTTTTAAAAAAATCAAACCAATTTTGAGGTTGTTCCTGTTTCACCTGCCTGTTTCCACTCAAACACAGAGAGAATTAAATCCATTTTTAAATGCTTTTCTGGACTAGATCTTAGTGAAAGAAACAGAGCAAGCTAATTTTGTGGACAAGTACAAGGTACACAGCTCTGTTTTGCTTCTGGGTGCACTCATGTGGATGACACTGACCACAGAAGGGCATGCCTGTGAGTCAGCAGGGCTGGGGCAGCTGTCACTCCCACACACATTCAGACAGAGCCAGACTAAGCAATGGCAAACTGGCTTGATGTATGCTGCTGTACTCAGAGTTCATATTCACAGTGTATAGGGGTTTATTTCTCCACCATGACCTCTGCATTTACTGAACCAAATACATTTACTGAGGAAAATATGGGTAACAGGGAGTGAGTTAAAATTTGGGGTGGAAACTTGGTTTAGCAGTTCTGTTGATTTTTCAGGTTGGAGGATATGTTTCTCAAGGCCTGATTTTGTAAACCTTGCTTATGTTGAACAGCACTTAAGTAATGTTTCCCTGCTCTTTAAAAGCAGTACCCAATGTGAATCACACAAGTGGAGCTGTGCATGACATTATCCAGGATCCATTTGTCAGCTTGTATCCCTTAGGCATGATCCAAAGCCCTTTGATCTCAGTAGAAAAAAAAAATCATTGGCCTTTGTGGACTTCCAGTAGGATCTATAACCTGAACCCTGTGGTCACTTGGATGTGCAGATGATCTTATTCTTTTGGTACTGCAAGGACCTGGTTCACACCTGAATCTCTGGTGTTCTTCCAATGCAAAATTACAGTAAGGCTGCAGCTGATGTTGTATTTCTGTTAAGCTGTGACCTCTTTTCTGCCTGAACAGCATATCAACAATGACCACATACATGGTGAGAAGAAAGAGTTTGTGTGCCGATGGCTGGACTGTTCCCGGGAGCAGAAACCTTTCAAAGCCCAATATATGCTGGTGGTCCACATGAGGAGACATACAGGGGAAAAGCCACACAAATGCACTGTAAGTAAAGGGGCCTGAGCTGAGGGAAGCAGGGGCTGTGCAGAGAACAAACAGAGCAGGACAAGTGCTGCATTCCCTGAGCTCGTCTGTCAGACTCTTGTGGAGAAGAGATTGCCATGTCTGCTTTGTTATCCAGCACAACCAGATGACAAAAGCTTTAGGAGAGGGGATTCCCTGGATGATTTGGCCCACTTCCTCAAGTTTAAAGTGCAAAGAAGCCCCAAAAGGCATTATTAAACATGGCTCAGTTTGCTTAATTATTTAAAGGCATTGTCTTTTACAGAGCTTGGTATTACTGCTGGCCACCAGCTCCTGATGGCTTTGCAATGGATTTCAGTCTTAGCTGAGGTACAAAAATACTGTGCTCTCCTGTAAGAGAAGATTTACATAATGCTGAAAGCATTTTTACTTGAGCTGTGGCAGAGTTTGCTTGGGTAAAATTAAAACCCTCCAAATCAAAACTACATGGGACAAAGTTATGAAGGCCTGGAAAATTTCTAAACTTTTATAAGTCCACTTTTGCTGTTTCCAAGCAAATCTTTGCAAGTCCAAGCAAATCTTTGCAAGTCCAAAGATTAAAGCTAAACCAGATTTATGTCTTGTCTGCAGTTTGAAGGTTGTACAAAGGCCTACTCCAGACTAGAAAACTTGAAAACGCACTTGAGATCTCACACTGGAGAGAAACCGTATGTGTGCGAACATGAAGGCTGCAACAAAGCTTTCTCCAACGCATCTGACAGGGCCAAGCACCAAAACAGGACTCATTCCAATGAGGTAAGTAAGCACAGCTTCAAAAGATTAATACAATTCATTGTTGAACAGACTTACAGTGTGGTCATAGCAATCCATTACAGAGGACAGGCACAGCAACCCTCAGCAACCTGAAAGGAATGTAAGTTCTGGATGCTTCTTAGCAGCACAGTATGTCATACAGACCTGGCATTTTATTACATGTAAGAGAGTTTTGAAGGAGGGAGTCTAATGGAAGCACATGCATTAACCAGGGACAGATCCTGTTTTCCTTGTAAAGCTGGGATCATCTTTCCCTCTGGAGCTGTAAGGACTCATTGGGTGCCTGGACCCATCCCCATGTCTGTGTTGGCACTGGGCATGTGCTGGGATGCAGCTTCCCCAGCTTACTTGGGGTGCTGCAGACAGCCACAGTGTCCACATTTGAAATCATGGGTTGCCATTTAAGTTCTGAGTTATGCCTTTTCCTTCTTCTCTGGCCTCTTTCAGTCTTTCTTTTCCTCCTGAACAGACCTCATGGACTGCAGAGGAAATGCAACCTTTCTCAAGGAAACCAGCTGTGGCAGTCACAGCTGTTTCCAAACTCTCAGCGTAACATCTCATTATTACTGTTTACTGTTACTGCTGCCTCCTTTTTCAGGAATCACACCATCTTCTTGCATTGTCCATGTTTTATTGCCCCATTTCAAGTTGCACAGAGAGTCACATTATCTCAATCTCACATCTCAGAGTCCACTGTCTCCTCCTTGACATGTCCCTGTACTCCTTCACCTCTAGCCTAAACCTGGGAGTACTGGAAGGGCAGGACATACCATAGCAGCTATATCTATTTCCACACAGCTGTATCTTTAGCTGGCTGTCAGGTCTGTCAGGTCTGCACACAGGCAGATCTCCAGGGAGCATTCATCCTCTTCCAGTGCCAGCCCTGCAGCATCTCTTCAGTCACAAAGGAAGCAGAGGGCATTGCACATCTCTGAGTTTCCTCATCCCTGCCGTGTGTGTTTTCAGCAGCCCAACTAATAATGGCACTGAAGCCCTGCAGTGATTTCGTGAATGGTCAAGGTAGAAGGAAGTTCACCAAGTCTTGCCAATAACTGCCTGAGCTTTCTTTTTTCATTCACTGAACCAATCTGTGTGCTGCCTGGTTGGTGAGATAGACCTTCACACTTAGTGGTGTGACCTGTCCCTGTGTTAATTTTGTATCTAACAGTAAGCCAGCCAAATTTTATGCTGCACATGATTTCTCATAGGTGCAGCCACAGGGGCAAATGAAACATTTCCTTCACCATTACTTGACACCAAAACAGGCTAATCTTTTAAGGCAGCATATACTGGTGGAGTGATGTGAATGCAATGAAAAGCACAGACCAAATTCAGCATTTGCTTGTCGTGCCATTTTGGCTTTAAGTAGGTAACCTACACAGAGCTTTAAAAGCAGCTGACATATCTTGATGATGGTATGCCTTACTCATGCAGAGGAGAGCTAAGTGACTTGTACTTCTATAGCAACCTGAGGAAACCTGCCTCAGTAGCTCAACATCATGTCTAAATTGCTCATTTTTGCTTCAATTCAAGTAAGTGGGACGGATTTTTCCACTGATGTCAGTGGAAGCAGTCTCAGGCCTTAGACAGCTATGACGAAGCTATATTTGTCAAAGGCTCCACAGTGTGTGTAAGTAGAGTGAGAATCCCTCTGAGAAACTCTGCATGAGGGTCTCTTTCTATTTTTTGAAGGTTAGTATAAAAAAACCCTTTAAAATAGTAGTTTCTTGGAAACAATTCAGTAATGAAAGTGAGTGAACAATACTTTGTTTCCCGAGGCAATTAAAGGATTTAGGAAGTGCTCAGCTCTTCTTTCTAATCCCCTCATAATACAAGAAAAAAGGCTTTGTTAATTTATAAGACAGTAAATTTACTTTATTCTACATTGCTTAGTGAACTATAGAAATCCACAGATAAAGAAAGTGGTTTGTAAAAGTGTGATGCTTTTAGTGAGTGATGCTAGTAGCAGTAATAACAGTACTAGTGCATATATTGCTACAACATGAAAATGTTCATGGCACTGTATCTGATGTTTTGACATCGTACTGGTGATCTGAAGGAGCCAGAAAAAAAATGCTTCCTCACTTTATTCTGCCTGAACAAACGGCCCAGCATCTTTTGAAGGGGGGTGTTTCTCTCAGTGTCTAGTAGTAGGTACTAGGCATACTGGGAATGCTATCAAACTGCTGAGGGCAAGGGACAGGGCTGAAAATTGAAGCAGTCTTCATAAATTGGCATGGCTGAGTTACCTTCTGCTGAGGTAAGTGAAAGCTGTGCCAGTTAGTACCCATGAGGGACTCTGCCCTCAATCATCTGTGCAGCACTAATTGCTACCTTCTGAGCCAAGGGGAACTAATGGTTTCAACTAGGTGCAGTCACAATTTGACAGGACAAGGGGTGATGGCTTTAAGCTGGAAGAGGGTCGATTTAGATTAGTTATAAGGAAGAAACTGGTTAGTGTGAGGGTAATGATGCACTGGTAGAAGTTTCCCAGGGAAACTGTGGATACCTCATCCCTGGAAATGTTCAAGGCCAGGTTTGAATGTGGCTTTGACCAAGGGTTCCCTGCCCATATTGGGAGGGGAGTGGATAATTAGATAATCTTTAAGGTCCCTTCCAACCCAAACCATTCTATGATTCATTTCTAGAGACCATAAATTAGGTAAAAAATTCACTGCGAAAGCATATAACTGTGACAGCAGCTGTGCTCCAAGGAGTTCTTCAGGAGTCCCACATGGAGTAAAACCTGATATGGGTGGGTTTTGTGTCTTGTCAGAAACCATATGTGTGCAAGATCCCGGGCTGCACGAAGCGCTACACAGACCCCAGCTCCCTGCGGAAGCACGTGAAGACCGTGCACGGCCCGGAGGCACACGTCACCAAGAAGCAGCGGGGAGACATCCACCCAAGGCCTCCGCCACCCAGGGACCCAGGCAGCCACTCTCAGACCCGGTCCCCAGGCCATCAGACTCAGGGTGCAGTTGGTGAGCAGAAGGACCTCAGCAACACTACCTCAAAAAGGGAAGAATGCCTCCAAGTGAAAGCCGTCAAGTCAGAAAAACCGATGGTATGCAATACACCGTGCCACTCCCTTTGTCCTCTTCTTCCCACAACCCCTTAATGAAATGCTCAAGTCTGTAAACTCTAGCTCACAAGGTTTGTTTTTCTGAGATCTTCTTCTGTGTTTACATTGTAAAATGTTTTTAAAGCCCAAGAAGCAGCAAATAAAAAGATTACAAATAGTCTATGCAATATAGAATAAGTGCAGTGCTGGCACCTGCCACAGTAATTGTTTCTCTTAAAAAGCTCAATCTTCTGGAATAAGCATAGTATGAGAAAATCAGAGTTTTCACGGAAAAAAAAAAAAAAAGAAGAGTGTTTTCCACTCTTCTGTTTCTAGAAGAAAGACAAATCTGAATCTTGTAGACTGAAAGCCAGAATAAGAAAAAAACCAAACCAAACCACAAGTCCAAATGATTAAATTGATGATATTGATGATGATCATTTTTGGAGAACCTGGGAAAGCAATCAGATTTTAAGGGCTTGAGGCTTTTGGGTCATCTATCAAACTGAAACAGGACAAATTGACTTTCTTAAACAGCAGATGGGCATCTTTTAATAATATCTCTGTTGTGATGTGACCTCTTATGTTTATCTGATACTTACTCAAGTTAACTTAGTCCAAGTTTAACTAAAGCAAGTTGAATTGACAGTCTGCAGGTCTTTTCTGTGGTTTACCTTAACGTATTGCATTAAACTGTTAAAAGGACTGTATTCTATTTTTTGAGATGCTATCTTAAATACACAAGTTCTTTTATTTGCCTGAATTTCATATGCCATCTGCCCTCTTCACAAGGGTTAATTCAAAGGCAACCACTCCATCCTCTTCCCCATCTGGGTCTATGATTCATCTATATTCAGCCCTTGGGGATTACAAATATGAGCCCTCCAAATTCTGCTCAGACTGTTAATCATGCTGCAATTCGAAGTGATTACTCACTGAAGTATGAGTTACTGCTATGTTGTGCCTAAGGCTTATGCTCAAACTGTTCAGTATTAATACTCAATTCAAAACCTTTTAAGAGCTCAGAGTAAACTCTTACTAGAGTCTAAAAGAAGGTCCTCTGCTATCTTTGATGATAACTACCTTATTTACAAAGGAGCAAAATCTCTTTTGCTTTGCTAGGTAAACGTGTAGTGTTATTGAGGCATGTTGAACACAGTTTTAACAGGAAAATTTGTGGAAGAGGGGTACTAATGCCTATAACTTACATAGTATTAAATATTTCTCACTGAAAATTATATTTTAAAAATAATTCTGTGTTTCTTGCTTTTCATTGTATGTATGAATTAAGGTATATTTTCTGGTTTTCAACTAATCCAATGTCTTTTCTGTCTAATGCTCTTAAATGTCTTATTCTAACTTCCTAAGGACAGTGGGTAATAAGGTGAGGGCATTTTAACTTTCCTGCTATTTTTCTTATTGCAACATTATATATGTTTTTATTTTGGTCTTCTGCCTGTTGTTCAGTCATTCCTTTATTTAGTAATGTGCAATCCATCAAGAACATTCCCAGTTGTAATGTGTTGTGAACATTTTGCAACACTTGACATGTGAAAAATCTGGCTTATATTGGTGAAATATCTTCAGAAATGTCTTTGTACTTTCCCCTCTAGATGAAACATCCATTTTTTTTCTGTATTCCACATCTAGAAATGTGTCCTGCATAGCACAGTTCTTATTTCTGTACCCTACCTCACTATGATCTTGACATGTGCTACAAGAACAGGCTTCTGATCACTTCTTCCATATGGCATGGAGCTATTGTCCAGAAGTACAAACTTTCTTCTGTATATTAACTGTTATTTCTATTCTTGTCACCACATCTGCCATGGCCAGGATTTGGAAATGAGCTTGCTCAGTGTGGCCTCATAAATTCTAAGTATCATCATTCAAGTTAGAAATAATAAAAAAGTTATTGAATCTCAAATTTACTCCTTAGGGGCATAGGAAACTACAGTAGTGCCATGAAGCTGTGTCCTCATTCATTGATGTTTAAAGTGAGAGTCGTCTCCGGCACTTCAGAAATTCTAGACAGCATTTTTCAGTAAAATGTACATAAAGATCACAGAGTGGCAGAAAAAAAAAACCCCAAAATAAAACCACATCAGAAACCCTTAAAGTCAAACACTTACATGAAACTGTTCTTGTGAGCAAAATGATACTGCATGCCCCACTGATTTGTGATCACACTGATAGAACCTTACAATGAGATATTTAGTCCAGAGACTTCTGTCTGTCGTCCTCTGTTTTGTCTGTCAGTTTGTTCATTTTCCCATTCTTTTGAAAGAACTTTATAAAAAGTCTGAAAAGTAAACCAAGCCTGTGTTTCCACACAGCAAGAGTTCTGCTAGAGCAGCGGGGAACACTCCCTGTTAAGAAAGAAGATGTTATTGTGGCATGTTTATATCCCTGCAGATTAGCAGTCTGTATTGTCTACTTAAATTCTTGCACTTAAAATCTTAAATTCTGATGAAACAAAGGATTTGATTTAGTATATCATCACCTTCTTGATTCAGGGCAGAGGTGGTATAAGTTAGGTATAAGGGGAGGTATAAGTTAGACCTGAGTGTTCCCAGGGTCACAGGATGCTGATAATATGATACAGTATTTTTTGCACTGATGCTTTGTCCTTGTTTTATTACATGCCAACATTTCAGGCCAACCACTGCTTGTAACAATGAGCCTTAAGCCTGGAAAATGCTTACATTTTTTAGCCACAAGTCTAATTAAAAAAACCCAAATTCCAATGTTGTTGGAGTCTTGTTTGTTTGTTTGTTTGTTTGCAAGCCTAGCAGTGTAAACTAATACTTTGTAACATGGCTGAATTCTGGTTTGGTTTTTTTGAGCTGCAGCTTCAGTTGGGAACAGCACATAAGCAATGTAGGGTATCCATCCATATGTGCTCACAAATGGCTTGAAGTGATAGAAGTAACTCTGGGAATAACTCAGATAAATGTCTTATGAAGATACATTGTATACTATCAGCAACATGTGAAAGGCAATTTTAATCTTGTGTTTTACAATGCCCTCCATTGCAGTTGAAGCCAATATCTAGAAAGCCTCCTTAAGAACAATCACTGTTACCATTTAAGGCTGAACTTCTCTATACCTGTATCTTTGGCTCCACTTAGCACAGACACTGTGGTTAACATTGTTTGCTTAATTCTCACACTCTTTTGTCTCTGACTTCCCTCCAACAGACATCTCAGCCAAGCCCTGGTGGTCAGTCTACATGCAGCAGCGAACAGTCCCCCATCAGCAACTATTCCAACAATGGGATCGAGCTTTCTCTGACCGGTGGTGGTAGTGTAGGAGACCTCAGTGTCATCGATGAAACCCCAATCATGGACTCTACCATTTCCACAGCCACCACAGCACTTGGCTTACAGGCCAGGAGGAACATGACAGGGACCAAATGGATGGAGCAAGTGAAATTAGAAAGGTTGAAACAAGTTAATGGAATGCTTCCAAGACTGAACCCCGTTCCACCTTCCAAAGCCCCAGCCTTGCCGCCTCTCATAGGAAATGGTGAGATACACATAAGAGGAGTGATAACGCTTTTTGTCCGTAATCTTGTTGCTTGCTAGCTCAATCTTGCAACTCTTGCAGGAGCTGCACAGCTCAGGAAACTCAGCAGCTATGAAATGGTTTGTAAATTGATCACTTTCTGTTTATTCCCTCATTGCAAGTTCTTCTACCCACACCCTCTGAGATGTCTGATAGTCCTGTGTGATACAGAACAGGAGCCCGTGAGGGAGCCGTGAATCACATTTTAAATATTCCCTACAGGTAGAGGTTTTGACCCAAGATCACCATAATTCTGTCCTGTTTTGAGACAAGGTAGAAGAAATAAATACCTGTGAGTTTACTGTATGGAAGTCTTTCTGTTGAGCCTTTGCAAGGCAGCCTTTGCAGAGATGTGGTGGACTTCCCTTTAAATAACTTGTTCCTACACATAGAAGAAATCATATGTACAGATCCTACTGCTGCAGAGGGCAGATATTCCTGAATGGGAGCAAGGCGAGGTTGAACTCTGAAGATCCCTGGTTGTTTTCCTCCAAAGAGCTGCTCATCACCAAAATAGATGTTGCTGCTGCCCCTACTTTGCCTACAGCATGCCTGTAGGTTTCTGGGCTCCACCCAGCAGTGACAGCCCAGGTTTTCTGAGACCCATTCAATCAAAAGAAACTATGTAAAATTAAGAAATGTATCCTGTTTACTTAAAACCAAACCAAAACAAAACAAGGAAACCAGCAAAGATGTTTTGCAGTTGTTAGGAGTTATTTCAAGAATATTTCAAGAAGTATTAGAAATGACCTTGAATAGCCTCCAATTTGTATATTTTGCCATTCCATGCAAATGCCTGTTCAATTATATTTTGCCTATAAAAAGCTCCCTTACGAATGTGTCCTCCTGGCACATCAGCCAGCATAGCTGCACTGCAGGCTGGAGCACTGCACCAGCTGATGACAGTTTGTGGCTATGGGCTATAAATTTTCTGCTGGGATTCACACTGAAATGTTACCCTTGAGTCTTGGAATTAGCTTTTAACCTAAGGACACAGTTTTTATCCCTACTTCTTGCAAGAAAGAGCCCTGCTGTAATTGGCTGTGATGATGTTCTTCCTCTATACTCCACTTAAGTCTTTACTGTGTGTTTTCTCACCAGTTTCTGGATAGTACCTCTTTGTTTAACTGTGAATTTTACCCGCAGGTACCCAGTCGAACAGCAGCTGCAGTGTCGGAGGATCCATGACTATTCTGCCAAACAGGAATGAACTCTCAAGTACGGACATCACTGTGTTGAACATGCTGAACAGGAGGGACAGCAATACTAGCACAATCAGTTCAGCCTACCTGAGCAGCCGCAGGTCCTCTGGAATCTCGCCTTGCTTCTCCAGCCGGAGGTCCAGCGATGCCTCCCAGGCGGAGGGAAGACCGCAGAACGTGAGCGTTGCAGACTCCTACGACCCCATCTCAACGGATGCCTCCCGGCGCTCCAGCGAAGCGAGCCAGTGTGATGACCTGCCAAGTCTTCTCAGCCTCACCCCAGCCCAGCAATACAGGCTGAAAGCTAAATATGCAGCAGCTACTGGTGGACCCCCACCGACTCCACTGCCTAACATGGAGAGGATGAGCCTCAAGACAAGGATGGCACTCTTGGGTGACTGCAGGGAGTCTGGAGTATCTCCACTGCCTCCAGTGAACGTCCCTCGAAGATGTAGTGATGGTGGGGCAAATGGTTACAGCAGGAGGCATTTTCTGTCTCATGAAGCTTTAGGAAATGGGACAAGGAGAGCCAGTGATCCAGTCAGAATGGCCTCTGACAACCTCTCTGTCCCGAGAGTCCAGCGTTTCAACAGTCTTAATAGCTTTAACACTCCTGCTTTGCCTCCATCCATGGAAAAGCGCAACCTTGTTCTTCAGAACTACACGCGTTCTGAGGGTGGCGTCTTCCGCGGCTTCAGCTCCCCCTGTCCTCCGAGCATCAGCGAGAACGTCGCCCTGGAGGCTGCTACAATGGAAGCAGGTAGCAGTCTGAACGATGAGGATCTCCTGCCAGATGACGTGGTCCAGTATCTGAACTCCCAGAACCAGGGCATGTACGACCATTTGTTGAACAATGTCCTAGATAGCAACAAAATGCATCACAGCTCAGTTTCAGGAAACAACAATTCCAGCAACTTTGATCAAGCTCCTCCACCAAGCAGTCAGCAGGCGGGTCCCGAGGCAAATAAGAGCGACTTGCCCATCCAGTGGAATGAAGTAAGCTCAGGAAGTTCTGACTTGTCTCCTTCGAAGCTGAAATGTGGTCAGCGGTCAGCAGTGCAGCAGGCTCGGGCCTTCAGACTGCATAACAACATGATGGTTCAGCAGCAGAACCTGGAGAGAAGCAACATGGCCCAGCAGAATGGCTATGGGAACCTGATGGAGAACAACAATTCCTACAGTTTACAGCAAAATATGACTCTTGGCAGCGGAGCTGGGAATTCTTTCAGCATGCAGTCCAACAAGCCTTACAGCGAAAGCATGGGCAGGCAAGCAATGATGTCTGGGGTGACAGACAATTCCTGTGGCATGGCAGTGCAAGGGCAGAAGCTGAGAATCAGCAACATGCCAGTAAATGGGAACCAGCAAAATTTCAGCCATCCCCTGGCATCCAGTGATCAAACCACCAGTATGGCAAACGGGATGCAGGACAGGAATATGATGGAACAGGAATATTTGCAAAGCCAGCCAGTCGGAGATGGCATTCGTTACCAGGGAGTCAGTCAATCTGGTCAAATGATGCTAGGGCAGGTTAGTCCTACCTCACAAGGCAGCCTGTATCAAGGGCCACAGAGCTGTCCACTGGTGTCTCACACCATTGGTAGCCAGCCTTCAGGTTTGTCAGTGGCCAAAAGTTACCAGTCATGCTCTAATTACAGCAGCAACAGACGGCAAAACATGTTGAGAAACAACCTGTCCCAACAGCAAAGACACCTAGGTGATGGCAACCAGACATACAGGGTAAACACCATCAAGATGGAAATGCAAGGTCAATCACAGCAGTTCTGCTCCAACATGCAGAATTACTCTGGTCAGTTGTATGACCAAACCATGGGCTTTAGCCACCAAGCTATGAAAACAGGTTCTTTCTTTGGTTCAGAAGCCAGCTGCCTGCTGCAGGGGACTGCAACTGAAAACTCATCTGAACTTCTTTCCCCGGGGGCTAACCAAGTGTCAAGCACAGTTGACAGCATTGACAACAACAGTCTAGAGGGTGTGCAGATAGATTTTGATGCTATCATAGATGATGGGGACCATGTCAGCTTAATTTCGGGAGCCCTGAGCCCAAGTATCATTCAAAATGTCTCCCGCAATTCCTCACGCCTCACCACTCCCCAAACATCTCTTACATTCCCAGCTATGCCTGTAAGCACAACCAACATGGCTATTGGGGACATGAGCTCTTTGTTGACCTCACTTGCAGAAGAAAGCAAGTTTCTTGCTGTTATGCAATAGACATAAAAAACAAAAAACACTTAGGAGATAACAGATGGGAAAAAAAAAAGACTCATATTTTTTAGTTGTGTATGTATTTTAGCAATCTCATCTCACCTAAATGGGATGTGTTTCAAGTATATTCCTTTTATGGAATAAGGACTCTGAAAACCCTAAAGTGTTCTAGGGAGAAACTGTCTTCCATTTCAGTTTTGAATCAGTATTGCTACGCCCATTCCCTCCCTTTCTCTCTTTTCTCTCTCTCTTGCACCCTTTTCAAATGTCTGTATGCTTCTTTTATTTTTCTTTTGTTTTTTATCTGTAAACCAATGTAAACGTGTGAAGTGCATGTTGTGGGGTTTTTTTGTTTTGTTTTGTTTTGGGGTTTTTTTTGTAAAGAAAGGCCTGATGAAATGACAATTTTCTGTTACTCAAATGAATCCAGACCTTGTAAAACTGTTGCAACTTTTCCTCTTGAACCTATAACCAGGCACAATGTGAAGTGAGCATACAGTGATGAAATCCTCTCTGGATGCACTGGACACATCACACTGAGGTGGAAAACCAGCTTAGAAATGCACTGCCATGCTACCCCTGGGCTGCAGTTTCAGAGACACGGAGCACAAAAAGTTGGGAGGTTCAAGCAAATAAGAAATGTAAAAATCATCAGCTCTTTGATGTCTAGCAAAAGCTTAAGGTTTTTGTAAACCCACACAGAGATAGCTGCCACTGCCTTGAATAACAATACTGAGATTGTGTCATGTTCAACCTATTTCAGAGGAAGGAGAGGACCAGAAAGCTGTTCGTAGTCCAGCTCTCATCTTTTACAGAATTTGGTATTCTGGTGTTCAGCCTTCTTTTTTAAATGACTGAATAGCAAAATTATGGGTGTGGATAGTGACTTGGGTAGTCTGCAGTCTTCTCATTGCATACCACATTTGTGAAGGTACAGTCAGGGTCTTATGAAGTATTTCATACAATGAAATGACAAAATGGCAGTATTTCACACTGGGGAATTCCTTCTTTTTTTTTTTTTTTAATGCAAATTGTTGAGGTGTAACTTGCTGAGCCACTGGTTCTTATTTGCTGCAAGAACTGTGTGTATATCCCCTTTAGCCCAGACAGCTCCATGGATACATAGAGCTTCAAAAGCATCATAAGCAAGTCATGTAAAAGAAGTAGAAAATGAATGGCTGGCCCAGTTCTCAGACTAGCCAAATAAATCAAAGCAGTTGCAAGCAATCTGATAATCTTAAATGTTTTTCCACTGTGTCCAGGCTTTACAAAATTAAATTAAAACTGCCATTAAAAATAGCAGAGAAACAAGGGGAACAGCAAGTATTCACAGATCACAGACTATTCTGATCTGGAATTATTATCAGGTCCAACTCTTCAGTGAATGGCCTGTATGAGGATCAAACCCACAACTTTGATGCTATTAGCACCATGCTCTAACCAACTGAGTTGTCTGGCAACTAATCAAAGCTCTGAAAGACCAACCCAGCTTCTTTTTCTCTCTCTTGGTGACACCATGTGCATTTAATTTCCAAGCAAACCAGTGGGTCAATGCCCAGGGTCAGTCACACTGGCAAAAAATTGAAAGCGATGCACTGTGATCATTAAGCCACTCACTGGTAGAGGTGAATGGCATTTTCTCTGTGAGCACTGGCTTGGTTTTGGCTCTGCTGGGCTCCGTGTCTGCAGCCATGAGTACACAGTGCTCCTGAGTGAACAGCCTGCTGTGGGGAACAATCATGGTTTAAATTCACCCACTCCTAGAAGCTGTATGGAGTTCCAACCCTCGAAGACTTCTCAGTTAAATCCCAATAGTGAAGTCCTACTATGGGATGTAGATTGTGCAGGCACCTACAGTCATGGATTTGATGTCTGTGAGGAGCTGATGTTATAGTAGACACACAGCAAGATGAGGGAGCATAGTCAGTTTTGAAATACAGACAAACTTTAGCCCAGTCAAAATCAGAAGGTGACTTCTGTAGGCTAGAAAACCAACTGTAAAAGAAAAGGTGAAATGTCAGCTGATTCAGGACATGGCATTTGAGAAAATGTGGAGAAATTGAATCTCAGTGAAGCTGTCAGATAACATTTATCTGTTAACAGCTGTGGAATCAGAGCATGAATGTATAAATCAGTAGGAAAACATCATAGGAATTTGGTGCAAGGGCCATATTTGAGTTTATCACAGCACGCACCAAGAGATTTGCACTGTGAGATGGAATGTCAGAAATCAAGACAAATGTAAATGTCCTACACCTTTTATAATTACCTAGTTCCTGTCTTTCTTGTTATGTTTAGCCAGCATTTCTTTCTTACCCTGTCCCATGCACACATATTCACTCATCCTGTACTCTTCCCTTTGACACTTCCCCTCCCAGCTTCCCTGCCCTGCCCAGCTATCACAGCCTGCCTGCCGTGCTCCTTGGGCTGCATGGGCAGCTGGGCACAGCTCACCATGGCCAGTGACTGCATTGCTGTGCCGGTGGAGGAAGCTGCTCCCTGTTGCCCTCTCATTGCCCAAAGGGCCTGCAGAGACCTGCTGCCTGTACACAGCCATTGTCCCTGCTCTGCTGCTGGCACAAGAAGGGATGCATCCCTCTGGGCAGGTCCCCAGGGGAAGGGATGTTCCAGGGGCCGTGCTGTGCATTGCAGTGCTGGGATACAGCCCACAGCCCTGCAGAGAAGCAGCACTATAGGCATGAGGAAAGGCTGTGCTGGACGTGTTTCAGATAGCTCTCAGTAACCAATCCTGGCTGTTTATTAGAGCTATCAATTACATGTTTATAAACAATTTCAACCGGGAGACTTATGACCAGCCTGGGAGTAGGTGGCTTGGGAGAGAAGTCTTTTATTGTAATGGAACCAATACATTAAAAAAACCCCAAACATCCCCAACTATTTTTTAAACTCAATTTTCCAGTTCATAATTGTATCTGCTGGTGCAATTGATGCTGGGAAGCTATTAACAGATGTGATCCATCAGAGCTTAGAAGGAGCCATTCATATTGCTCCAGGCTAAAAGGCACTGTTTGAGTAGCCAGTTTGCCTTCCTGGATTTGACAAACCTTTGTCACTCACTTAGCCTTGTCTTGGGCCAACAGTGTGTCTTGGCAGAAACCACATGCTCAAGAAAGGCATCCCATTTGATTTGGCAAAGCTGAAGAATCAGAGACTCCACTGTGTCCTTGGGGAGTTTGTGCAAAGGATTTATCATTTTCACCATTAAGTGTATGTGCCACTTCTGTTCATGTATCACTTTTCAGTTTTTAGTGTTTTCTCACGCTTTTCTGTTTTATACTAAAGAGCCTGATTTTGGTACCTGTGAGGGTAGCAATACATCGCAGCCCAGCTATCTTGGGTTTTGGTTCTGTTTTGATAAGGTAGACTGGTCTCCCTGAGCATGGCACTGTTACACTGGACACCAGCTTTCACTTGTCAGCCTCCTTCTCAACATGTGGCAGTCTGGGGAAAGTTCCATCAACACTGGTGGGATGAGTTACTAGCACCCTTCTACTCTTCCAGTTACAGAGTTGGTTTTGTGTATGTGGCACATCAGTTGATTTTTGCATAGCTGTTGGAAACCCACTGCTCACCCAAGAGTACAGGAAAATGCACAAAATATCACAAATGTTCCATTGTTAGAGCATTGCAGCATAATGATGGTGTAAATCACCATTTCTTGTAATGAGTCTGTGAGGGTCTTCCATATGCATCACTGTCGGCCTTGGGCACACCAGTAACACTCAGCCTGCCTGAAGCATGTGTGTTTCTCCAGACAGTTTCGCTTTCCACAAAGTGGAAGTTGCCAGTGAAGAGTTTATCTGTCAGCCACGTGCAGGTGAAGGAAAGGTGTGTTTGCAGGAAAGTCAGTGGGCTTCCACGTGGGAGGGCAGTGGTCCCACACATCCACACATGGCAGGTGATGTTATTCTCTCCTTGGGGAATGGCCCCACATGGTACGTGCATTAAGGTGCTGGCTGGCTGCTGACTTCCCATCACTGATTCCCCCCTCCTCAGTGGGATGGCTGGTCAGCTCACCCAGGCCTGTCCCTCCATGGCTTGTCCTCCTGGACAGCAGTGTTTATATTCCCACAATGTATGTGCCTTATTTTGCGTTGACCCTGTGAAAGAGAGGGACCAGGATGTGTTGCCAAATTTTCCTGATGAGGCTGTACTTGCCATTGAGCTAATAGCACATACCACTGTTAATAGTGTCCAAAACATCTTGTAAACCTCTGGTATTCATGTGTTATTGTCCTTGGATTGGTGGAATGTCTCCTATGGAACAGTTACTGTTGTCAGTCCTGCAGATGTGTAAGATAAAAAAAGTGTTGCTTTTTTTAAAAATTTTTTAATTTTTTTTTATAAAGCTTGTAATCCTTAAAAAAAAAAAAAAGAGAATGTGTAAATACATTTATGTACGGTAGGAATAGTGTTCAGTTGTAACAGACCTTAGTGGTCTTCATTTGATAAACCTGCAGTTATGATCTGATGTTTCTCAAGCCTTAGGTTGATCTGAAGGGTCTGTAGCACTGTGTACATATGAACTGTACTTCTGCTTTCAGAACCACTTAGCTTTTTTGTAACAAAGAAAAAAATGTTTCTTACAATGTCAATAAAAACAAAAGCCTTTGTACTTAAGTTCTTAGCTTTCAGCTTCTGAAATATCTCCTTGGGGGAGGGAGTTATTTTTTCGTACATCTGAAAAGCCTGGTTGCAATCAGTGCTTGTATCGCTTCCACTCAGAGCTGCTTACCAGCCTCTTTCTGCTTCCCAGCCTGTTGCTTCACTCCATTCACAGTTTAAATACAGATGGGAAAACAAAACAGGGTGTTTACCTCCTTGCTAAAGAAAGATGGCTGATGAGTGTTGGGTGGAAAAGCAAATGAAAATGCAGTGTCACACTGATGAAGTGTTTGAAGGGAGGAGAGAGACTGACCTGGTTAACTCTGGAGCAGTCAGCAGTTCAGAGGCCAAAGCCAAGCTGTGCTGAACTCTGGGCTTTCCTGTGGGGGCTGTGTTTCCATCCCTTGCTTGCCAAGGGTGTCTCACAATGCCTTGCCCACCCATGAAGAAGCATGGGAGGGAGAGAGGGAGGGAGGAAGGAAATCTGTAGATGTCCACATTAACCGCTGGGTTAATCTGTAGATGTCCACTCAGGTGGGTTACAGTGTGATCTGCAAAGACAGTTATCTTCAAAGCTGGACATGTTTAATGAATGATCCTGTTAAGTACAGTTGCTATGGATGATGTCAAGTTAGTGGTGGCAAACAGTATAGAAAATGTTGTAGCACTGCTTGGTCTTAAGGTGTCTGATCTGTTCTAATTTCAGAGTCTTTTGTTTCCATTGCTGGCACCTTGGCAAGACCCAGAGCACTCTGTTAGCTGTCAGTGCTCAGCTTCTGCCTTAGTCCTTCCTCAGCCAAAATAAGTGAGCCATTTCCCAGGTGGTGGGAGATAAATTTGCATTGTTATTTGCTCATTTAAATTTTTTGTTTTGTTTTGTTTTGTTTGTGTGTGTGTGTGTCCTGTTTTGTTGTGGTTTGTTGTTCATCATTATTAAGTTTTTGTCATTTGGCACAGGACTTTAAGGTTTAGGAGGGTCAAAGGGTAGAATGGAGAGCTAAAGCCTAAAACGTGATGCCCAGCTGAGAAGCCAGTAAGGCAGGAGAGCCCTGGGAGTGGTGTGGTAGGGGTGAGGCAGACCCTGCAGTTTGAAAGGGAGGTTGATGGTGGCCATGGTGGCTTAGCTTATGTAGATAGGTGGATAGCTTTGCAATCCAAAATTCTCCCAGAGACTGGCAGTGCTTCACCATCAGCTCACTTTGGGGGAGGGGTGTGTGTGACATGGCTTCCCCACAACTTGGATCATAGAAGGTCAGCAGCAGGGATGGAACAAGCCTCAGACAAAGACATGATGGCCCAGCAGAGAAAGGAGCAGGCCTGTGTGGGGAGTCAGCAGCAGGATCCATGCTGACAACAGGTGATGGCTGTCAGAAATGCCTCTGTTGATTCTGAGCCTTACCAGCTGCCTGCAGGTAGTGGGAGGTGAGGAACTCCCACTTCTTACACGCCAATGCAGTGAAGTCCTGCATACACGCACGCGTGCAAGAGCATTGTGCCAAACAATGTGGTCAGCACTGCACGCCTGCTGCCATAAGGGAGCCCACACAGCTGGACTGATAGTCCCTCCCTCTCATGAAACTTGCACCCCTGCCTTCACCTTTAACCAACTCCTCCATTCCCATCATCCAGCTGGATCTCCTCCACCAGCTGGATCAACTTCAGGATGAATGTCAAGAGGGCAGGAGATGCCAATGGGCCCCCTGCCCTGTTCAGCACGTTGGTTATTTGCTGTGTGCTGCCACACAGTGCGAGGTCAGGCATCAAGGTTATAGCATGTCCAGAGCTGGGCAGTGAAGGGCTGGGGCTCCAGGTCACATTCCTGTCCTCCAGCCTGACCTGGGATTGGGCTGATGGAAAGCTGCATGTTCAAAGCTGCAGCCAGAGACAGGACAACCTGTGTTGCCATGTGGTAAAGCTCAATGTAATGCCAAGTTCTCAGGAAAACAAAAAATAGCAGGACAGTCGTGGCTTGTACCATCCAAAATCAGCAGATGCTGTTGACCTTTAGTCTCTGCTTTAGTGCCAAGGCTGTAAATTAATAAATTTAATTCATTAAATTAGTTTCTTACTTCAGAAGGGCATGTACCCAAGAGAGAACTGCAGTTTGCAAAGCCTAAAAAAAACATAACAGAGATATACAGCATTAATCAGCAAGGGAGTAGAAAACTCCCTACAATCCCCCAGTACCCTAAACAGGTAGCATGACATTACGACACTCAAACCCAAAGATGGGCAACCCAAAAATCGCCAGTCATGTTAAAAGGTGGCCTGCCCTGGTCGGGGATGAAGCAGGGCAAGGCAGAGACTGTACTGGGGCCCACAGCGCTGATGGAGTTACTGGGCTGGCTGGGTGTAAGCGATGGCACTGTAGGGCAGCCCAGTGTAATATTTTTCCTTTCCCAGCTTTTGTGGGCTTGACTGTGTAATCTTCAAGCTGCTTTTTCAAAGAGAGGGTAATGGGAAAGAGACGACTTGTTCTCTTCAGGCTGAAATACAAGCTATTTGTGTTAGGAACACGGCTTTGTTACATGATTAGTGCAATGGGAGCCCCTAGGCACCACTTCCCAGTACAAACAACTAGTATTAATAACTCATGTTAAAATTGCCTGCTATTTAATAACCTGGGCCTCTTTCCACCCCGAGAAGCACATAACTGCTTTGTGTTCCCACCATCTCTGCCTGTCTTCCCTCACTGGCTTTGGACTCTCCCAGGAAAAAAAGGAGCAGGTTTGGGCAAGGAAGAAGGAAGAACTGACAGTGTTTAACAGGAATCCCCACAGCCCATGTCTGTGTACCTCCTTGCCTGCCCTCCCCACCATGGGGTGCTGCTCCTGCCTCTGATGTGA